AAAAAAAAAAAAAAGTGTCTTTCTTTATGGTTAATCCACTTTATATCCTGTTTAAGAAATCTTTTCCTATTCAAGTTTATGAATATTTGTCTATAGTGTCTTCTAGAAGTTCAATTGTTTTGCCTTTTACATTTGTGTACGTTGTGTGTGTGTGCGGTGTGAGGTAGGGGTTTCGGGGGTCAAATTTCCTTGGTTCCCATTTTGATACCCATTCATTGTAGATTATATTTATCTTACTGCTCCGCAGTGCTTCTTGTAAATTAATATTGGTTTATGTTCTACGTTCTCTATTTTTCACTCTACACATAGAAGACCTTTGGAAAAAATATATACTCTATAAAGGAAAGGAGTATAAGAAAATAGGGAAAACTTTGGTGATTTGTGTGAGTGAAATGGATAAGATTAGTTTAAGATGTTTTTTTTAACTCTGCCACCTACTAGCCTATGGCATTGGATGGGGTAACTTGTTTAATTTCTGTAGGAGACGCTAAGAGCCAGACGACATCCGAGCAAGATGATCTGCAGCTGAGGTGTGGACCTTGGGCCATTCGTCCACAGGAGTTCCTTGCGGAAGAAGAGCTCGTGCCTTCAGCATGTAGTCATTGTTAATTACTCCCCTCACCTGTGTTGTTCTGGCTCAATAAAAGGCTGGTTCGGAGGTTGCTCGGGGCTACCCGGAAAGTAAGGGCTAGCCCGCCTTCCACAAGCTTGTGCTTCTAATCCGTCTCTCACCTGGTTCCTTTCTGCGCTAACCGAGACCAGGGCCATAGGAGCCCCACGGGTCGCGACAAATTTCCTTTTTTTTTTTTTAGAGACAGAGTCTCACTTTGTCACCCTTGGTAGAGTGCTGTGGCATCACAGCTCACAGCAACCTCTAGCTCCCAGGCTTAGGTGATTCTCTCGTCTCAGCCTCCCAAGTAACTGGGATCACAGGCACGCACCACAAAGCCCAGCTATTTTTTTGTTGCAGTTTGGCCAGGGCTGGATTTGAACCCACCACCCTCAGTATATGGGGTCAGCGCACTACTCACTGAGCCACAGGCGCTGCCCAAACTTGTTTAATTTCTTTGGTGCCTAGTTTCATTACCTTTATATTTAATTCATAGCACTGTAAAGATTAGTGACTTTCTGTGAAGTGTTAGAACAACATTTGCACACAGTAAGCACTCAGTAATGAGTGTGTTGTGTGTATCTCTGCCTGTCACTTTATAATCTCCTGTCCTTATTTTCTCCTGTCCTTACCATTACAGCTCATTCTCAGTAATAGAGAAACTCATTTGGTGCCTAGCTGAATTGACATAAAAAATCAAAATGTATTCCTCTGAATATCAATAGTTATAAAATTTTACGGTACAAATAGCAATGTGTTTGTAGGGTGCTATCCATCTTACTTCCTTAAAAATTAAAGTTTCTGGCTGGTCCAAATGCAGTGGTGTCTACAACAAATTGATCATAACCAGTTACAAATGCATTGGTTCCTTTTCCATTCCCACTGCTTCACTTACTAGCCCTAAAAAAAAAAAAAAAGCAAAATGGAAATTTCTAAATTCTCAAACACCTCTGGCCCAGGGCCTCAGTAGGAGATTTGGGGTCTGCATTATTAGTTCATAGTTATATAGCCTTGGGCAAACTCTCAGTTTTCTAACTCTGCCACCTACTAGCCTATGGCATTGGGTGGGGTAACTTGTTTGTAACTAGTGACACCATTTGATCTCTAAAGTCCCACCTTATGGAACAATTGACACACAAAAAGTATGCCACTATGAAGTGAAAAAATGGCATGCATTTTTGATGAGTGAAAGTATTTTAGAAGTTTGCATGAAAACATAGGTTCTATGTTGCTAGCACTAAATACGAGAATATTTTTGTATCTGAGATAAAATAAGGACAGGAGATTATAAAGTGACAGGCACAGATACACACACCATCTGCCTTTCCTCCACACTTTGTGCAAAACAGTAATACAAAAACTATAATTCGAAATTAGAATCACACAGAACAACTTAGGAGCAAGATCTATGCACATTAAGAAAAAGTCTTCTGAATTGAACCTGTATTTTGCTCTTTTAATGGGAACATGAAGAAAGAAGGAAGACCTTCTTTCTCTTGCTAAGTTTTTTGAAATCTTAGCCTTTCCCACCTTGTTGGCAGTGATGAAAGGCTAGGGGAAGGCACCTAGGCCCTGTGCCCCACATGAAAGAAAGCCCACTGGGGGAGGCTCATCCCAATGAATGTACAAGAAAGACCGGCTCCTGAGAACTCCCAAGCTCAGGGCAGAGCAGGATGAACTGGAAGCGTGGTGTGTCAAACCTGGGATAGGCTCACCGGGAGAGTGGTGATAGTGGACCTCTTCCCCTTCTCTGGCTTGGCCAGTCCAGCCCTGTCTCCCTGGTGTCTGCAGTGCACCTTGCCCAGTGCTAGAGGCAGAGCTGAGCTCCCAGCAAAGGCAGGTGAGCTGTGCAGGGGATTCCTGTCACCAGTGCAGACTCTGCACTCCTGGCAAAGGTGCTGCTGGTTGACGACTGTCCTCTGAGGGTTGGTGTGACAATAGCGAAACCATCGTTCGTCTAATAACAGCAGCCCAGGCCAATTTGATTTCTCTAATGCTGACTCTCCAAAAAGCGTGTCTTGGTTATTAGGCTGATATAAACAGCACCCAAGGCTGTAGAGTAGGAAGTCCCAACGTTCCAGAAGAGTCAAATCAAGGCTTCCTGCCCATCTTTTCCCAGCACCAGAGGTTTCCTGTGCAAAATTCTAATGTTAACGTGTACTGAGTACTATGTGCCCAGGACTGTCCTATGCGCTTTAAATCTGTCACTTTATTTTACTCTAACAGGGATCATTATTCCCATTTTACACATGAGCAGATGGAGGCAGGTCAAGCTAGGAGGTCAGAAGGGGAATTCGCTTGGTGAAGTTTGGCCCCAGAGTCAGCGTGCTTGGCTGTGGACTCTTCAGCCCCAGAGCCACCTGGGCCCTGCAGTTCCTGGAAGCAGAGCTCCTTCCTGCTCTCCTCACACAGGGAGAGGAGAGGACTCTTGGATTTGGAATGAAACCAGCTAGTTCCAATGAGGCGCTTCTGCCATGAGTTGTGGACAGCTGGGCAGCTAGTGAGTGGAACAGGTCTCACTTTGCTCAGGTATAAACCAAGACATCATGCTCAGTACTGTGTACTGAGTACTCAGCTTTCTGTCTGGCTTTCAGAATGAGTCCCAGGCTTGCTACTCCACCAGCAAGTCCCAAGGAATCCTGTATCAAGTCCCTAACCCCTCCAAGCTCAGCTAGAGAGGGAGGCATTCTTTGCCCCAGGGAAGGCTTTTGTTCGCAGTTGGAGACAACGTGTGCCTGGCAGTGCCTGGCAGGGGACTGGGTGTAGCTATTGTGATAATAAGCATTGGGAAGGCACCAGCTCCTCCCCCAGAGGGATCCTCTCCCACAGGCAGGATCCCTGTGTGGCAGGGGCCACCGAGCAGAGCAGGGTGTGAAGTGAGCGCAGGTCTGCCGAACCCGGCACGAGCTCACCACGGAGTGGTGAAAGCAGCCCCCTCCCCAGGGTACGATGTGGACGATCCAGCCCTTTCCCAACACAGACCCAAAGCCCAGCTTGCCAAGCGCTAACTGCGGAGTCCAGACTCCCAGGACCGAAAGTACCCCCAAGACCGATAAGGCCGAACAATCCTGGCTTTGTTTTAGAAGGATTTATCCTGAGTTTGCAGTTGGCTTTTATCTGTGTGTCAATGTGTTTGACCTCTCAGGAGATTCAGGGTCTTGGGGAGAAGGAGGCAGAGGAGAGGGAGCCCGGGCAGCCCCTGCTGGGATCTCACGCAGCTGGAGTTGGGGCGCGGGGTGCGCGCGCCAGGGCGCGCGAGGCGCCCGCGGGGCGTGGGGCCATGCGGGCTGCGGCCACCGTCTGAGCAATCTCCCCGCAGCCCGGCCAACCGCTGGTCGCTCCTCCGCGCGGCCGGCGAGGTCACGATGGGCTCACTGAGCCGGCAGGTAGGCAGTGCCCCGGCGGCGGCGGCGGCGGCAGGCGGTCCTGGAATGTGCGAGGGGCGTGATGACAGTGGCCGCCGGCCTCTTTGCGCAACACCTTCGCTATATATACCCGGGCAGGCGCCGCGCTCTACCTGGCCGCCGCCACTCCGGCACCTGCAGAGGGAGCGCGGGTGAGTATCGCCGCTTCCTTCTCTCTCCCGGCTCTTTCAAGAACCCCCATTTACTTCTAAGTGACTTAATTCCGTTCCCTAGCCCTCCATGCCGACCTCAAGGAACTTGACTAGCTTTAGGCTGCAGAAAAGAGAGAGAGAGAGAAAAATAAACCTTTCCAAAACTGTCAAATATTTTGTTCTTAATGGTACTGCTGTTGCTGTGACTACAACTTCTGTTGCTATAGTTAACTATTGTCAGTGTTACTAATCGGCTACAACGGGGGAGTCTAAAACTATAGATGTTTGGAGAGTCATGGCTTGGAGAGGATGCCCCAGGTGGGAAAGGTACCACCCAGGAATAGACTAGGGGGATTCTTTTTGGCAGGGCCCCTGAGTAGCAGATGGCTTAATGCAGGTGCCTCTGTACATCTGAGACCTCTGGCTGCAGTTGCCATCTCTGACAAGAAGGGGATGGGACCATCTCTGGGTTTTTCCTGACCTGAAAATTCTGGGTTGGTTGTGGCTGCCTTGTGATGTGACTCATCCCCTACCCTCACTGTGACTTCCACCTGTTGTAGTTATCCAAGGTGATTGCGAGACACTTCAAATTTGCTGGTTCCATTGGGGTAGATGGCCACCAGCAACGTCTGGGGACAAGCAGAAGCTACTGTTTCTCTCTTTTCAGAGCAGGGGGTGCCAGGGGGATGGTCTAGAAAGATGATTTACAGGGAAATGTGCACCTGGTGGTTGGCCCAGAGAGAATCTTCAGGGCAGGAAGAGGAGGGTGCCTGGTCAGGAGTTAGTTCAGGTTCCCTGGAGCAGATGACTGCCCCTTGTGACAGGTACCATGGCAAAGAGAGGATCTCTAGTTTCCCTTGGTGAAGAGATGACATAATCAAACTTGTTGGTTCCATGGAGGCAGCTTGTGGATTTCATCTCTTAGATTCCCTCTTCTCCGCGTTCAAGTTCACTGCCGATTGCTGTGGTAGCCAGGGTTGCCCTGGCCCTTGTTTGTCTTTCATTTCCCTTTTCTTCCTGAGCCGTCAGTTTTTCCATCTGTTCTGTGCTGGGTATTCTTAGAAGAGCTGTGTCTGTAGGTGAGGCCATTGTTTTGGATTAAGACTGAACCATTTGTCCCGTGCCAAATGATCCCGTCCCATGATAATGATCTTTGCTCTTTCCTTAACATTGGAACGGTGGCAAGAAGGGTACGCTTTGTAAAAGGTTAGGACAAAACAAATGCCTTTCCCCTAAAGACCTTCCCCAAGTTCCTCAGCCGCACCTTGAATCAGCCACCATTAGTGTAAGGATGGGCTTCTGGGTTATTCCTAATAGCTCAGAGTGGACATAAAAATAGGCCAGATTCAATTTAATGAAGAAAACAGCCTCAGGATCAGAGTGATTTGGAATAAACTGGATTTTAATGCCATCTTCAGCCATCTTCCACACTGTCCTCATCCACATCCCACTTCTGCTCTGGGGACAGTATGGGGGTGTCAGTGGAAAGCAATCTGGACATCCCTGTGGATAAAAAAATGCAACAGTGCAAAAAGAGGGCAGCAAAAAGATTGCAATTTGTCTCAGATGTTTACTATTTCCAAATTTCATTCCTGCAATGGCCTCCAATACAATGCCAAGTGATGGATTTAGCTACACATTCATTACAGGATTTATTTTAAAATGTCACAAATACGAATTGAAAGTGTATAGTGAGGATGTGATGTGGTAATAGAGCCCAAGTTTGAAGTGGTAGTCTAAATTTCTTTTTCAAATTTAATTAGTGCATTTTATCCAATATCTAAACTATAACTGGGCAGGAACATAATCCAAGTACTTGGGAAGTCTGAGGCAAGAGGATCACTTGTAGGCCAGGAGTTCAAGAATAACCTGGACATCATAGCAAGACCCTATGTCTACCAAAAGCAAACCAAAAAGAAAAAAAGAGTCTAACTATCTATCAATGTGAGTCCCAGGCCAAGTGCATCCTAGTCTCCTTTGTAACACACCTCCTCCCTCCCATCATTGCTACCACCTTGGCCTTGGGAGATTATTTCCCTTGTGATGGCTAAAGAATGCTAAAGAAAAGTAGCTATCACCCTCTTGGGAATTTTTTAAATCTTGGGTTCTTTCTTTCTTTCTTTCTTTCGTAGAGACAGGGTCTCACTTTATCGCTCTCGGTAGAGTACCATGGCATCACACAGCTCACAGCAACCTCCAACTGATTCTCTTGCCTCAGCCTCCCAAGTAGCTGGGACTATAGGCACCCACCACAGTGCCCAGCAATTTTTTGGTTGTAATTTGGCCGGGGCCAGGTTTGAACCCACCACCCTTGGTATATGGGGCCAGTGCCCTACCCAGTGAGCCACAGGCACCGCCTTTGGGTTCTTCTTTCAAAGAACAAGACAATTTCTTGGGCATACTGAACAATGGATTGCCTGAGTTTGAATTGTCTCTGAAGGCGTAGTGTCATGAGACGTTAAGCAATTAATTTCTTGGTGCCTCAGTTTTTCCCTTTCTAGAATAAGGATATTGTTGGTAGCAAAGGGTAAATACTTTCCATACAAGTGTTTACATGAATACATAAAGTGCTTACAAGATTAAATGAGTTAAAATGTGTGTGCAAGACTTACCACAGTGCCCGGCACAAAGCTCTCAAACATCTGGTGACTATCCTGAGTGCTGGGGATACAGTAGTCATTATCCCTGTGCTCGCGGAGGCCACCACCTGGCAGGAGAGCGTGTGTGTGTCCTGGTCCTGTGCCCACCTCTCCAGGTGGCCTCAGGCGGCTGCTTCTCTGGGTTGGAGAGCAGATCTGGGTTGGAGAAGCCCAAACAATGCAAAGGCAGGCGTTGGGTGACTGCCAGCTGCCCTACATCTCCCTGTTTTCCAAGTCCAAGACCAGCCAAGAAGTTTCCTCTCCTTGGCCTTCAAGGAAGAATAAGAACTCCTTTTGTCAGTGGGTGCCCATGTGACGCAGGAGATGGAACCAAGACGGATACGTGCACAGGCAGCTCTGTCGCAGAGGCCAGGTGGGGAGCAGGGGAGCAGGTGTGGGGTTACCCTGGGGGCCTGGTCTCCTTCCTGGAAGTTAGGACAAACTTGCCAGATGGATGACTGTTCCCTTCTCTGCAGCTTCCGGCACGTAGCAGGAATGTGCTGGAGTGTGCCCTAGACGGCAGGGAGAGGACAACAGCTGCCTCAGGGTGACGGAGTGGGAGAAAGTCTTTGCAGGGACAGAAGGGCCTCAGGGACCCCTGCAGTGCCCAAACCTCATCCCTTAGGAAACAGGTTCAGTGTTTGTCCCTGGGAAGAGTGACCTCAGATTCATGCTACATCCCCTGCCTGCCCCATTCTGCGCCACCTCCCTGCGCAGCTGAGACTCCAAAGAGGGCTTGGGATAGGCAGAAGCTGGGTCCCTGGAATGCCGGAAGCCTTTGTGGAAACCCAGCAGCCTGTCATTACAGCATTCTTGGCTGGCAGTTCTAGCTGTCTGAATGACTAGGCAGAAGTGACCCCTTCAGTCGTGCCAACCCCGCTGGCTCTCCCAGAAACGCCCAGAGCCCTTATCAAGCCCAGAGGCCCCTTGGTACCCTGTTGCTTTGCTGGGGGCTGGAGGATTCTTTCTTCTTTTGCCCCTGGATGTGAGGTCTCTAGAAGGGCTTCTGGCTTTGGAATCAGCAAGTCCTGGGTTCAAATCCTGATACCACTCCCAGTAGCTACGGGACTCCAGGCCAGTTTCTTAATGTCTCTGTGCCTCAGTTTATTTTCCAGCACATTGGGAGGAAAAACTCTATCCTCATTATAAGATTTAATGAGGTCACAAACCACAAAACTCTCTCCCCTATCACAAAACAGATCACAAAACAAACATTAACACTTTTTTCTGTCACACGCTTTGGATTCCGTTGCAGAACAAGCATTTGCCGAGGGTCTGCTACCAGGCTGAGCACTGGACACATAGAGCTTTGGGGGCAAAGTGGAGTTCAGGCCATTCACGGTCGTGATGTGAGGCACCTCGGAGTTCTGAGTGTTTACTCTGCCGGGCTGTGCTTGGGTCTCACCTACATTTATTCATCTATTAGTTCCTGCAATAGCATTGTCCCCATTTTGACCTGATGACACTGAGGCTCAGAGAGACTCAGGCCTCTGAAGTGTCAGCTCTTGCCCAGCGTGTGGGACTGTCTTGGTGCTGTGCATCAGCAGAATTGGCAGCTCCAGGGGCCGAGGAGTCCCCAGATGCTTGCCTAGTCGCAGGGCAGCCTGGGGCATTTGCTGCAGGTGCTGCCTTTACTCCAGGGCTCCAGAGCTGTAGCATCAGTGTCCCCCCAGATGGACTCTCTCTGTGTCACCCCACAGAAGGATCTGGAGCTTTGCTGCCCTGGAGCCTGGCTGGCTGGAGACTGAGCCTGAGCTTTGGAGTCTGGTGGTTGGGTGGCAGCCAGGTGCCCTACTTTCCCCACTTCCTAGGTCCCGAGAGCTGTGGGGGTGGAGAGGGTCAGGAAGGGAGTGGCTGGCAATTGCCGAGAGCTCTGGGCTGGGTCAGACAGTTCTCAGGTCCGCTGGCTGCCGGCCTGAGAGGGGGAGGGCCTCGTGTGTGACTCTGAAGGCTCCTTTCCTTATCGGCCATTATCTAGCTCAGTGAACACCAACAGGTGACGGGAGAGATGACAGATGACCCGAATTGAAGGTCTGCATGAGGGGAAATTGTTGATTGCTTCATCAGGGAAGTGTTTATAGAGAAGAAACTTGGACTCAGAACAGGGAAAAGAAAGACTTCCAAGAAGGAGAAATAAAGACATTCAGTAGAAATCTGCCTTGCTTTTTGGTGGCTCTAATGGGAATGAGGATTGGGAGGTGAACAGAGCCAGAGCATTCCCGGTGGACATCCAAGATGTTACAGCGGGTGGGGTCCCTGGCTGTCATGTCTTATTCTCACTTGTACAGTTCAGTGCAAATGGGTGGCCATCTGTCATTTGTAATATTATTAGAAACTACTTGTGTTGGGCGATGGAGGTGT